TAACTGACCAATGTAGAACAATGTATTATGCTAAATTACTGAGATTTAAAGTGGTCCTTTTAAGAGTGTCACCACATTTAGATACCTGCTTGTTAGGTTCTAAAGTTATTCCTAGAAATGGGAATATGCTGAGTTTGGAGCTTTGATTAGGAAAACATGTTAATACAAATCATAAAAATAGTTTCTTTATTTTGTAGTGTTTTTTTTAATTAGTACCACTGCATTTAATACATTTCCTTGAATAATACTTTAATCTTTTCTTTATATTAATGTTATTATCAAACACATGCAGCATTCTTTGGACAACTGCAACTTTTCAGGAGTTCCACAGTTTATATGGGCATTATCGTGGAGGCAGATCACTGGAGAAAGAAAGTATTTCAGCGATATAATGATGATTTATACATCTATACAAGCTAAGGAGAAGGTTCTACCCCATACAATTTCTGTTGGAATCTTCAGTGCTCCATTGGTAGCAAAATCAGTTCTGTTATCGTGCTTCACCCAAATCAATACTGGGTCTAGCCAGGGATTCTAGCACATCCCTGGAAAGGAAACCAGGCCCTGCAGACTATAGCATCTACATAGCAGTCCCCAGCTTCCAATTGTATGAATCTCTTGGCCTTACATTGTAATATAAGAACTCCTTATTTCTCAACAGCAAAAGTGGTTGCTCCTTGTGTATTGTTACTGGAATGGACAGGTTGGACTTAGGTCCTTCGCTTCTGAGTGTGTTAGCTTTCGTTCTCACACCCGCCTTCCTTCTTGCCTGAAGTGGGTGTCAAAATTTCTTTCCAGTTGAATACATGTGATTATGTAACAACATTTACAGTGTGGGGTATAAAATGCATTTAGTTATCTTCAGGATCTGATAAGGGATGGAATAGGGAGGAGGGGAAGGAGTTGGAGCTATCCAGGTCATGAGAGGAGGGAATCTGAGTTTCTGAAAAGCTAGAGCTGGATAGAATAAAGCTAGATAGCACAAGCTATCATAGCATTTTTTTTTTTTTAGCAAAAGGAGGTTTCTTAGTGTATGTAAGCATATTCTTACAATTAGAAATTGTTCTTCTGTAAGCATCCTAAGTAAAATAAAACAAAGTAAAGCAAAACAAAACAACAACAAACCAAAAATACTAGCAACAATTTCAAATTGAAAGTATAGGGGAAACACCCCTCCCCCCAATTACTACTTCTGGCCACACAATAACAGGAAATCTAATAAAGCTAACTTAATACCCTGTTTTCCCCAAAATAAGATATCCCCTGACAATAAGCCCAAACGGGCTTTTGAGCGCATGGCAATAAGGCCACATGCTTATTTCAGGGTTAAAAAAAATATAAGACACAGTCTTATTTTTGGGGAAACATGGTATATAGTCTTGAACTGTCAACTTTTTAAAGAATTTGCTTGAACAAGAGTAACTTGAAAATCAAATTGCATAGCAGATCTAAATAGTTATACTATTCTGGACCCTTTCTTCACCCCATCCTGCTCTAAGGAAATCACATAAGGATCAAGATTTTGGACTTCTGGGAGGAAAAATGGTCAACTGAAGATGGCTTTGCTTTGCTGAGAGAAGAGTGATGATTGTGGTGGAATGAAAAGTCAGTGATGGACCATTGCTTCCAGCTCTCCAGGATTCATCTCTTGCAAGGAGAAGACTTATTGTCCACAAATTCTCCACACAGTTGCTCCTTGGGAGGAGACCACAAGACAAGTCTCTGAGCCCTGCAAGACAAGGGAATGGCACCTTTGCCTAAACTGCAATTGGCGCCTTTATGGACACAGAGTTCATATGCTTTCTTTCTTAATCATTTTTGGAAATAGCTTATTAACTGCTTTTCAGCTATTAGGAACTTGGAACTTTTACAGCACTGGGTGAATTTCCTTCAATTCTTCTTAAAATAGTTTTTAACACAACTTTCACATATTTTTTTGGGAATAAACAGAAAAAGGGTAATTATAGCACTGATTTTGGAAGGTTACAAATGGACTAGGAGTCCAGATGGGGTTAAGATTTTGAAATTATAAGAATCCTTCACATGGGAAATGCTATTGTTTTGAAGTATTTAAAAAAATTGATATAGGTCTTTGAAGATTGGACACTAGAGGAAACTAGAAAGAACTATAGATTCCAGGAGAAAAAGCACTTGCATTACTAATAAGAATGGGGCAAAATACTATTGGGCATAGTGAAGGATATTTGTGAACAATGGATCCAGGAGTTAGGAGAGTGTGTCAGAATAGACAGACTGTATTTAAAAGATGTTACGGAAAAGGAACAAGTTTTCCCAGATATGCCTGAGACTGCTCTGAAAGTGGATTTAAAAATGACAGACTGCAAGAACAATATGGAAATAAGATATTACGGTAGGAGATGACAGGCTGAGCCCAAGGGAGGGGTCAAATGCATCATCAGTCATGAGTCCTTTTGCATCCACAAGAGATCTAGCCCAACTCACCTTGAATTCTTTTCACTCTTTACATACCCAGAATTTGTGTAGTATTTAATTGCAGTATCTCATTTATCCAAATAATAAAGAAACTTTAATTGGGTTGATTCTTAATCTTTACATTCATAGTTTATGCAAAGTAGTGTACAAAAAATAAGGTGTATTTAGCATAGTGCTCATTTTGATAAAGTGCAATGGATGAGTGAGAAGGGGGAAAAAAACATGCAGAATACCTGGGAGAGGTGTTCCTAAAGTAGAAGACTGACAAGTCCAGCTGCTAAATGTTGGTAGTCCAAAGAGATAACCACAATGTAGTATACTGATGGACATCACTGGTAAATGTGGGTAACCCAAAGAGGTGACCCCAGAATGTAACTACTGACAAAGTAGTTAAATCAGGAAAAAATATTTCCAGACTACAAGGTTGACTAATTATGTTTATTTAGTACTACTATGTAGTAGACTATTAACTATGACTAACAGACTCATAGTTAATATAGGATATGTAGAAAAAAGGTTTACTACAGGATGACTAGTAGAAATAAGAGAGAGATTGTATAAAGACAATCCAGCTCCAAGTAATACCTGTCAAGACGATATACAAACCGTGACAAAACAGTGGCTGGGTAAATGGAAGAGAAAACAAAAACAAATCTTCATAATTCACAATTTTATTCATAATTGATGTTTGTAGTTTCAAATAGTAGGGTTTTTTTAGGAATGATTGAAATATTCCAAATCATACATCAGTTAAAATGTATATATTATGTCATCTCATGTCAAATACAGCTTCTTGAAAAGTTAGTTTGGATTAGTAATGCATAATCTCTTTGGGATCAGTAGGCATATTTCACTGACAAAACTAACATTTTAAGAAGACAAACATTGAGGTTGTTCCCTGATCTTTAAAGTCCCTTGTGATCTAATCGCCCCCAATTTACTTTTGTTTTCTGTTTGGGTGGGTAGGTACTCTTCCAGGCAGAGCATGCAATTGCATCCACTCATATCTAGTTTTCTTACAAGCTATACAACATTTGTGGTCCAGAAATCTCTTGTAAATAAATATGGTACACGATGGTAGATAGTTAGATATAAATATATAGATAGACGTACATAATAGATGATAGATAGATAAATGATAGTGTTGATGAGGCATCCAAGACAGCATTTGCAAGTACACTGTGAACGAAGATGGGGTCTATGCAGTAAATCAACTGAAGATCAACAAAATCAGGCATCTTCCTTATTAGTACACTTATCTACCCTCTACTATATATATAGCAATAGCTTACATGAATGCTCTCTACTATCTACTATATATATATAGCAATAGCTTACATGAATGCTAAGTGGAATATTCCATGCTTTGCTTATTGCTATCTTTCTTTCAGGAATTTGGAGATGTATCTGATAATCAACAATGCATGCAACTCATTAAGAACTCTTGCAGATTCAATTCTTTTGTCCTTTCAGCTTTTGTATGTACTTATTTTCTCCAAGTTAAAGTTTAACAGTAATTTATTCTACTAAGCGTGGGTGGTACAAAATCACATTTTCCAAGGGTCCAGAAATGGAAAACCATAATGACATAAAACCAACGTTACCACAATTACCATACCAACAAGGGTGGACCATCACCGTATAATTTTGAAAGTTAGAATAGTGCGATACATGCATGCAGAGTATTATAATTACTTGGGAAAACTGAATTACTGTAATTAAGCATTAGCGTAACTGCTGCATATTCATTCAGAAATAAAGATCTTCCACAAGTGAGCACAACTGAAACATTAGTCTACTATATACTGAGCTCATTAAAATCAATAAAATAACTAGAAGTTTATGAAAAAATCAAAAGATATGAGCAAAAAAAAAAAAAACAAGCTCTTTACCCTTTAGGAAGAAATCTGCAAGTTATTGTCTGCCTTTGGAAACATTATTATCCACCCTTCCAACCCCTTGCCTGCTTTGCGCATGCATTTCAGTAGAACTACTCTTCAGACCACAACATTCTAAATAATTATGACTATTTTAATTTCTTCTCTTCCAGCTACAACCTGAATTTCACCACACTGCTTGCTTTAAGAAATCCTCATGAACATAACATCCGTAAATGGAAAGACCACATGTTTTTTTGGCAATTTACCCAGTGACAATGCACTATTTTACTTCTGGGCACTTAACTAGGCACAAGTTCATCTCTCCCTTTAGCTTGGCCTTTTAGTAATAGTCAAAGTTGAAATCAACAAGTTTACCTCGATGCACACTGTAATCTCATCTGCCTAGAGAACAATCACTTGCAAATCAGTCTTCTCTCTCTTTAATTTTTTTTCCCCCAGTTACTTTTTTGGTGTGACATCACAGGTGTTGGTATTAAAAGCATATAGGTTGCAAAGGCAGCTTAACTGTGCAAAAACTGACTCCAAAAGAAACAGACAGAAATCGGAGCATGAATTGCATAGTTCTGGGAAAATCTTAAAAGGGGGGATATTGTTCACACCTTGACTAGAATGAAAGCTTCATAAATTAAAAAAAGGTGGACATACCTGTTATTCCCACACAAGGGATGGAGACACGTGTGATGCTGCAGATGGCAGTGAGGGAGCCAAATCCCATGGCTGAAGTGTAACAGGAAACCTTGTGGGCAAACACAAACTGAAGCTGGAATAGAAGTTCTGTTGCTCACAAGACTTTGCTGCTGCTTCTGGTCCCCTTCTGTATCAGCAGCCGCTGCAATTGAACCAGGCATTTCCTGTTTGTTGTCCAAGTCCCCCCCCCCAACACATGAAGATGAATGGTTCCCTCCTCTAATAAGCCCCCCTCCTTCCGTTGTCCCAAGTAAGCACTGAGCCTTTGAAACCCCCATGCGGCAAGAGCTCAAAGTCAGGAGACATGTACAAATAAAGTCAGATATTTAACAGCCAGTGTTTAGGCTAAAATCTGCAGGCTAGCAAAGCAAACCTTAAAGGGATATCTGCGTGCTTATAATTAATGGGCATTTTTTAGCTACTAGGCAACCTCTGCAAATATAGTTAAAAGGCAAGTTTCCCCGCCTTCTTTTTTTGGCTTCAAACTTCTTTTTTTAAAAATTGCATTTCTAAATGTTCTTTTTCTCAAGAAACAAAGCTGTACTATGCGAGTAAAGTGTGTTAAAACTTCAAGATGCATTCAAATGTCAGAGTGCCCTTGGTTGGTTGAATTTTATTCCACTTACATCATTCTTTAAAAATGTCCCTGTCCAACCTAAAGCAAGTCTTTGTGCAAGAGTTGTGGGTGGGGTTGACTTCATGAACATTTTCTCAAGACTCTAATTTTGCAGGGTGATAACTGCGGTTTTGGTGTGCTTTGTAGTTAGGATGCGTAGACCTTACTCTAGGCTGGCTGGGCAATTCTGGGAGTTGAAGTCTGGACATCTTTGAGTTGCTAAGGTTGACAAACACTGCCATCGTTCATTTTCAGACTAGTATAAATTGCTTTATTTTCTCTTTTCATCCAGTCCTCAATCAAGTCACTACCTTTCACTCTCAGTTAATCAATCAATAGTTGGAAAAAATAGTGACAATATAAAATGATGCGCTAAATAATGAGGATATTCTAGATTTTTATGTTCTCATTTTTTTTCCTATTCTGAACGGAAGAAGGGAAATGGTCAGAAATACAGGTAGTCCTCAACTTACGAACTTAATTGAGCCCACATTTCTGTTGCTAAGTGAAAAATTAAGGGAATTTTGTGACCTTTCTTGCCACAGTTGTTAAGGGAATCACTGCCGTCGTTAATAACATGGTTGTTAAGTAAATCTGGTTTCCCCATTGACTTTGCTTGTCAGAAGCTCGCAAAAGGTAATAACATGACCCCAGGACACTGCAATAACCATAAATATGAGTCAGTTGCCAAACATCACATGTTCATGGGGATGCTGCAACTGTTGTAATTGTGAAAAATGGCCATAAATCACTTTCTCCAGTGCCTTGTAACTTTGACCGATCACTAAATGAACTGTTTTAAGTCAAGGACCACCTGTATTTGACTTATACAGCAAGAATTTTGTGAGTATCCAAAGAGATTCCTTCCCTCCAATTTTTCACTCAGTTATCTAAATTTTATATCAATCAAGTCAGACTTATAAGAAGGGCATGCTTGTTGAAAGAGTTCTTTGTTTATAAATTAGTGTAGTGAAATCACAAGTATATTTTGATGAACATACAGGAAGTTCTTGACGCATGAACATAATGGAATTTGTCCATTATAATTACAAGTTGGGAAGGTTGTTACATGAGATATCCATGTGATCATCTCATTTAATGACGCCCACCCTTGCTCTCCCCGATGACATTAAGTAGAGCACAGGGTCCCCCATGGGTTGGGGTGATCCTGGGAGGTCTAGTGCAGGCTCAGGTTCACCTGTCCTGGACCTCCCAAGGCTTCCCCCCAGAAGCACCCCATGGTCTGTTTCCCACACCTCAGGAGACCCCCTAGACCTGAGGCTTGGTTTTCTCTTCCCATTGGATCCGTGCAGACCTTACAACTTTTGAAACCAGTTATAAGTCAGGGAGTATCTGTATTATTCCACCTAGAAGTAGGATGCCCACACAAGCACTGGTGAGTAGCTCATTCACAAGTACAATTCAACAATTTGCAGTGCAGAACTTTTACAGAAGTCAAGCTCTAGTACATACAAAGGCTTCTCTTCTGAATTCAAGCCCTGATAGATTAGGGGTTAGGTTGCTAAACACCTGCATACACAGCTATATACGCAAAGACATCCCAGATGCAAACGTTGTATGAAATTTGTGGATGACTAAAGTCCTAGTGTGATGTTAGAAGAAGTAGGGGCCATTTACCACTACTTCTGTGGTAAATTCTAAGTGCGCCTTATTTGTTGGGGAAACAAAGAAATGATTGATTGTATTGGGCTGCTAAAGACTTACTCTGCTTATGAACATTTATTGTCATTGCACAACTAGAAACTGATATTAGTTGGCCTGTCATCAGTGGTGGGTTTCTACCGGTTGGCACCAGTTCCCACAAACTGGTAGTGGCGGTGGTGGGAGGCTCTGCCCACCTGCCTGGACATTGTCACAGAGGCTCTGCGCATGTGCAGAAGTGCCACGCATGAGCAAAGCGAGCATGCGTGTGTGCGCGCTCCCAGTTCCGAACCGGTAGCGAAGGTAAGAGGAACCCACTACTGCCTGTCATGTTAAAATGATTAGAGGTTTTCCTATACTGTTTTTGATGATAGCTGGAGAACTAATGTTTTTGGTAGCTTGGAATCCCCCGTGTAAATTGGAATGCAATGTTGAGAAGTCTCTACTTATTGTGGGAAAGTAGAAAGGATAAAGAGCTGTAAACTAGCTTCACTTGAATTTTTTCTCTTCCATTCAATCATATATGATTCTCAGAGGCTAACTGAATACGTCCATGCAGTTTTCAGAAGTGGTTGTTGCCATTGCTTCCATCCTAGGGCTGAGATAAAGTGACTGGCCCAAGGTCACCCAGCTGCCTTTACTCAACTGAATTGCCTGTTGTTATCTGCAGATTTTATCTCCAGCTACCAATTTTTAGACTATTGTAGGAATTTGTTTGCTATGTGTGCAAATATTTACAAGTAATGCATAATCTTTGAAGACAGATGATATACTAAATCTCCAATGTTCAAATGAGCTAACATATGGACACCAAAAAAGTAGACTTCTCATTTTTGAGGGAAGTATGGATTATAGAAAAGAAATTTAAGTTGGAATATTATTTTCTTGAAGGGATGTTCTCTCTGTGTGAGCCAAAATGGAACAATAATTGGAAGCTTAAAAAAAAAAAAAACCTGAACATTTTAGAAATATAGACAATTGTTGGTCTTTTCCCCAAACAGACAACTCTACAATATGACAAAATCTGTCCCAAAGCTATTTGGAAAAGCACTAGGCAAAATGTTTGAAATCTAGCTTCTTCTGCACTACCTATCACATCCCATGTTAAAGTGCTTTAAACCAGGGGTCTGTGGACTGACACTGGGCCGCAGCATGCCAGAAACTGGGCCACGCAAACAAGTGAAGCCCCATCCATGAAATGAAAGCAGCATGCGAAATCACGCCACCTCCGGTCGCGGAAAAACCTCTTTCCACAAAACTGGTCCCTGATGCCCAAAAGGTTGTGGGCCTCTGCTTTAAAACTTCAGCAAAACACCAATCAAAATTTCATATATGTTTTTAAGTGTTCTTTCAGTTTTCTTCCTTTGAAAAATATGCCAATCAACTAGTAAACAAATATTGGGATAATCTAGATCAAAGATCTCCAACCTTGGCAACTTTAAGACTTGTGGACTTCAATTCCCAGAGTTCCTCAGCCAGCAAAGCTCTGGGAGTTGAAGTCCACAAGTCTTAAAGTTGCCAAGGTTGGATCTAGATTAGAGTCATTCACAGGTTTTACATTCTGAATGATTGATATGCTTGCTTTGGCAAGTAAGGTGCCAGGGTTGCAATTTTTGTGTGTGTCTTGATGAACTTTTTGCTTCCCATTTTTTCCAGTCTCTTTCTTTCCAAAGCTTAGATCTTACAGTTGTGCCTTTGATCTTACTAGTATGTTATGTTATTGTTTGTGAAACAGTGGGAGCTAAGATGACTTCTTGCTGTAACGGTACATACAAATGTAGTGCAAAGCAGATGAATCTCAAGTGTTTGAATAAACTTTGCCCACACCCTTCTGCTCTGGAGCTAGAAATTTGGCAAATAATTGAAAGTTTATGGAATTTTCCTCTTGTTCCTTTGAGGATAATAAAATGCATCTGCTAAGGATCACTAACATAAATTAGCTGTGGTTACTATTTCTGTCTTGGATTTTATGAGAACATTGGAGCTACTTTTTCTATATTTCAGAAGGGGCCATTTTCAGCAAATTATAATATTTAACACTGTGTCTAACAGCATGCAAGAATTCATACCCTACATCTGTAGTAAATATATATATATATATATATATATATAAACAAACTAATAGTGAGAAAATACATACATAGCAGAGTTAACAATGTAAGAAATTTATCCCCCCCCCCCCAAAAAAAAAGGGAAGGAAAGAAAATATATTATGAACAAAGCAATACAAATTGAACAAATGCTATTTTTCTATATGTTTATGTATAATTGCCAGATCAGTCCAAGGCAAGGAAAAGTGGTCATGGCTACTGTATTTACAATCTATCTAAAAACCAAAAACTGGTGTCAAGCATTAATTTTGATTTTTTAAAAAAACATCCTTCTGCAGAAATTTCCTCTATCCATTTTCTGAAAGCCTGTATGGTTATTTGATCTTGATTCTGCTGGGATAGCACAAAAGAACTTCAAGGGGGAAGACTGATAAAATAAATAACAGTCAAGAACTAGCAGTTAAAGCAGGCTTGGCTATATGACTGCTGTGCCTTTTTGTAATGAAGAAATAAATAAGTTCAAAAGTGGCATTGTTAAGTGGGGATGTTGTCTCACTCCGCAGGTTATCACAGATAATAACCCTTTGTTTTCCTGTTTTCTGATAGTTTCGTAATTAAAATTGGCAGCCTATTTCACTATTCACATCCACAAAGTTTATTTCTGTGTAATGAATAAGAAGGAAATACAGAATACACTTCGCTTCAGTGTAAACTGTTATTCAGGGTATTCTTGTCTTTCAGAGAAATAACGACAGGATTATAGAGTTGGAATGGAGCACTGAGAGATCACTGGTCGAACTCTGCTCCAGCAGAAGGATCCACTATTGGTTCATTTTATTTTATTTGCATGCAGTGGATTCCCAAAGGCTCTGGACAGTTGACAATCTTATCATTGAATATGAAGTAACACCTGCAATTAAAAATGACACAAAAATATGTGTAATAGCAATAGCACATAGACTTATATACCACTTCACAGTGCTTTACAGCCCTCTCTAAATGGCTCCTTTACAGCCCCTAACAATCTGGCTCCTCATTTTACTGACCTCGGAAGGATGGAAGGCTGAGTCAACCTTGAGCCTGGCGAGATTCGAACTGCTAAATTGCAGCAGGCAGTCAGCAGAAGTAGCCTGCAGTACTGCATTCTAACCACTGTGCCACCGCGGCTCTTAAGATAATAGTACAATATGGAAGTCATGTCCAACCTCCACTTTCAGACATAATCTCTTCTCCACCAGTGCCAGATGGAACAGGTATGTCTTGGCTTATTTTCTTAAAGCTCCAAGAGGACATTGCTGGCCAAAACTCCATAGGGAAAGAGTTACAAAGTGTGGGAGTGGGAAATAGGAAAAGTCTGTTTCTGAAGCCCCATCAGACATCAGTCTTTTAAAAACAAGACCTGAAGGAAGGTGACTCTATTCCATCTGATTTAATGGGCAGATGAGTGAGAAAAGGCAAAAGAGAATCCACCATATTGCAATTAGTTTCACTGTAAAATTATTCTCATTGTTTGGAAGGTTTTAAACATTCAACCAAAATCTGCCTTCCTGTAACTTAAACCTATTATTTTCACATCCTGTGCTTTGGAAAAACCTTCTGTCCACTATTCTTTCCAGTGTATGAAGAACGTTATCTTCATTGTCTTTCAGATAGATACATTATTTATTTTTGTTACCTTCTTCTTGTGTTGGATATTTCCAGGTATGTAGACTTCAATTCTCCCAAATCTCAAAACATGGCCAGTTCTAAGAATTCTGACAATTGATTCTCTTCCATTCTGGGTGGGTGGTTCCAACTGATGTTGGTGGAGGATGGAGAGTCCATGCTCTTATGTAGTACTTCGGGAGTCAGCTCTTTTGCCTGGATATCATCTACATGAAAATGCAGGGAGAAATCATACTTTGGGTATGTTATCACCAGGATGCTAATGATACATGTATACATTTTCATCCCAGGCCAAAAAGGAAGTACACTGGAAATTTTGACTCAGGAACTGGAAGCTGTGAGGAATTGAGTGGGGGTAGGGGGTGGGGAGAGACTTAAACTGAGACCCAATAGGCAATCATAGTACAAGAACCCTACCTGTTCCTTATGGATTGAGCTTCTCTTGAAAGAGAAATGTAGAATTTGGGGGATACTCAGGAGTTTATAATCCCTTTTACTCAGGGGTGAAATGCTCCCGGTTTGGACCTGATCGCCCAATCCGGTAGCGATGGCGGCTGGTGGTTCAGAGAACCGGTAGCAAAAATCCCTGCCTCCCCCCATGCCCAGCTGAGCCACGCAATCATCAGATGCTTTTTTAAAAATTATTTTTAAAAGCATTTTTTCTACAACCTCATCAGCTGAAAAAATGCTTTTAAAAGAAAAAGAAAAGCCTCTGACGATCAGGCAACTCATCTGGGATCGTCAGAGGCTTTTAAAAGCATTTTTTTTACAACCTCTTCGGCCAAAGAGGTTGTAGAAAAAATGGTTTTAAAAGTAAAAAAAAAAAAAAAAAGTTGGCCACGGCCACCCAGTTACATTACCCCCCCCCCCAACCAAGCCAAGCCCACAGAACCGGTAGTAATACATTTTACATTTCACTACTGCTTTTAGTGCAACAGGTGGAAGTCATGTCCACGAAAGCCTTCTGACGGTTTGGGCAGGTCTACTGGTTGTGATCCTTCCTGAATTGAAGACAGTGACTCATGCCCTCATTAAACTACTATAATTCAGTCTACATGGGACTGCCCATTGAAAATGATTGATAAACTACAGATGGCACAGAATGCAGCTCTCTACAAACAGTACTAATGAATAAACCCTAAAATGCATATTTTAAGCTACTGGTATATTGATTGCCCATAGGCTTCTGGGCCCAATTGAAGGAGTGGTAATTGCTTATAAAGTTTTCTATGCTTTAGGTCATCACTACCTTTACAATCGTAAGCTTCAGGTGGAATCTACTTACTGAAGGAGGGAGCACTGCAAAATGGTTCCTTAGTATTAGCTTCCTCAATTCTGGGACAGATTACTCCTTTAGGTCAGGATGCCCCACACACCACGCTGTTAATATTTAAAAAGATTGTAAAACCAGTTTTCTTCCACAGGATCTTTGATGTGGACAGCTTTGATTAAACAGTGGTAGGATTTCTATTGTGATTTTAACTGATTATTGTTACAATGTTTTTTATAATTGCAAGCCATCTGGAGTCTTGCAAGTAGGTGGCATACAAATGACTGTATAAATAAATGGATAAATAGAAGTCCACATACCTGGAGGGCATTCAGCAAGAGAAATCTGGCCATCATTAACTTCAATAAAGTTATTGGGGAAGACTGATTTTAACATACTCTTTCCTGGAAAATACATAAAAAAATTATCTAATTGATGATTATCAGAACTGTGTCTGTTACTGTCATTAAGTAATACATTGTTTTGATAAAGCAAGCATTTTAATAAAAATAGAATGCTATTTTCCTTTAGTTTTGGATTTACCACAGGAGTGTTATGATGAGAATTTCCATGCTAGAGATACTCTTCAACAAAATTCATGTATTAGACAGGAGGAAATCTACAGTATAACTAGCAGATACTGTTCACACCGAAGATTAATGAAGGAAGTCAAAACATTCCAGTATTACTTTTGAACCAAAATAAGTTTTAGTGAACTTTGGGGAAGTTTTAACCTGAAAAACAGCCACTTCCTTTTCCTGAGATTCAGGATGTCATAAGTTCTTTTATTGAAATGGGCACAGAAAACGGATGGGACTTCTATAAAATTGTATTTGATATGTAAAGTTTGCATAAATGTATTTATGATTCTGGGATAACGAGTGTAGGACAGAGCTGACTATTCAAGGCAGTTGTTGCAATGCAATTTAAAACTGGGATCTGACAGCCAAAGAAGACCAAAATTGCATGAGGAAGGCTAATTATGGTCTCTGGGAAAACAGGCAATCATCTAACCCACCTTTTCCAATGATAGCATGTTAGAAGGTTTTCTGGAAACTGAATTTGAAGTGATGGGGGATCATTTTGGATGCTACATGCAGAATATTAGATGCAGGGATTTATTGGATCTTTCCAACCTGACTCAGTTTCCCACCCTTGGTTTCGGATGAGTGGGTGAATGGAAGAATATCTTTTTTTGACAGCAAAAGAAAATGAAGCTCCCCCCACCCCACAAGCCAAATTTTAGTTTAGGATTACGGGAGCAAAGTAATCATAGGTTCTAGTAGAGCTTGTGTGTAATCCCTGTTTCTATCAGCCACATCTTGTTTTCTTCATTTGGAGCTCAGGAAGCTGTTATATAATGATATACCAGAATTGCTTCCATTCCAGCTGGCCGTGCTGAAAAACAAAACAAAACTTTAAGAATCACTGATTGAACTCTCAATTTCCCTTTCCATTCCATTTTCCTTGTATGTCACAACTTTTACATTGCAAGTTTGAAAGTTGAGGCTATCTTAATACTGGTATTTTGCTAACAACTCTCTGATTCTTTTTAGCTGAAGAGCAGACTGCTGTAAAGCAGTTTTTCTCAGGCTGAATGCCTTTCAGCACTCTTCAGTTTATCATTAGTGATGGGAGCAACATATAAAACCAGTAAATAACGGGTGCACAACAATTGGGGATATTTTATTGCCTGGTTGACAAATACCAAAAGAAGAGTTTCTTCTGTTTTATTTAATTTTCCAAGCCTTCCCTTCTGGATCAGATTTTATAAAAGCATATTTTGCAAAATGATATTTCTGGTTAGATATTTTTTCAAATGCTCCTTATGACAGTGAAATCGTAAATTGCTTACCTGAAGTTTAATGATCTGCTATACTATTTATTAAAGCCAGATGGAACAGGAAATTATAGTGTATCAAAAGAAAACCTTTTGGACATATATAATACAGGAAAATGTAACACCATATTTAAAAACTATACATTTTATTTTAAGATTATCAATTTATCATCTGTCCATTCATCTGTCCGTCCATCCTTCCTTCCATCCATCCATCCATCCATCCATCCATCCATCCATCCATCCATCTCTTCTTCCTATTGGTAATGAGACTTGAGTAACATAGATGGTTTCAGCTTGTTTTAATGATTTTCATAAAGTTATATCATTACAGTTATCTTTAATTTCCCTAGGGAAAGTTCTATATTTCTTGAAACCACCATTTTGAATATGTCCTATGTATGAAATGTTTATATGCCAATTATATCTCTTGACACATTTAGGGGAAAATAAGTAAGAGCCTGTAGCACTTTTACAAACAAAAATATTTTATTAAAAAGCATAAGCTTTGTGAACCACAATTCTATTTCATCAGATGCATGGAGTGTAATGAGTTTAATATAATTGTAATACATAGCAAACTGTCTCACTATAAAAGGGAAGATTGTGGTAAGGTGAATTAGGTGCCTGCTTAATAAGTTATTCAGATGTAAACAATTCTGGAAAACTCCATAGCGTTCTTTTTTTTTATCTCAGACTAAAGAGATTTGGACTAATCTTGGACAATACTATGTCCAGTATTACCAATACTGGTAATACTGTGTTAAAATCTGTTTTGCACTTCATCTGAAGCAAGATGAAAAATCACTAGATCCAGTGGTCCCAGGACCCACAGCCAGTCTTGCTAGGACTGATCCACATGCACTCAGTCTTGCTAGGACTGAGCCTATATCTGTTCTAAGAACTTTGACAACAACATTTGGTTGACCTAGGATAGAGATGTACAATTGAGTATCATCAGCATACTGATAATATCTAACCCCATACCATTGGATGATTTTGCCCAGAAGGCTCATGTAGATGATACCCAGAAGTAAAAAGAGAATAGAATCCCACAAAGGTATTTAAGGCTAGATCTTTCCTATCAATGCTAACTGGAACTGATCATGAGAGGAACAGAAGAACCACTGTGGCACAGTTTTTCTGACTGAGCTGGTTCTGGAAGACACTATGAATGAAAACCACCAACAAATCAAGCTAAGATGGATGCATTACTATTTTGTCCTTCAAGAGATCATCAGAAAGTATAATCAATTCTGCCTCAACACAATATCTAGGTCTGAACCTTGACCAAAGTGACCAGAGCTTCCTTCACAGCCCTCTGAAGCTACAACCCAATCACATTTTCAACAAGTTGGAAATTGGTCAGTATTGTTAGTGATAGTTTCTTGAGGAGAGGGCAAACCACTGTCTCCTTAAGGAGAAGTGACACCAGTTCAGAGAGATGCAAGCAAGTTTATCCATCAGGTTATACATACATTGTTGATAGTAAGCTGTAGGTGTTCCTTCGGTGTCCTTTTCCTTATGAAGGATTGAGTTATCTGTCATATATTTTTCCACCACTCTGAATACTTGTCATCCATATTTTGCAATTTGAAAAAGCCCTATGGCAAGATTATTTTTCTCTCTTCTTGTGTTGGAACTTAAGAAATGTACAAAGTGCTGGAGAAATGATTTTATATTGAAGAAGAGTATTCATAAACATCCCATGGTGACCGTAAGTGTGAGAACACCACATTTCATCCATGAAAGCAAATTCTTTTTCCAACACTCAGAAAAAAAAATTCAATTGAGGTGGCGAGCGCTTGGTTAGTTTTTTTGCCTATCATTTAAAGTAAGATACATGGACATCCCACTAACCAGCGAAGCTTGTAGAAGAAAAATGAAAAAAGAATGAAGAACATATACATATTGTGATATATATTTTTATTTGTCTTGTCAAATAAAAAAATATTGTTTTTGAATGCGCTGCAAAATGTCATGAACTTGAGGAAAATATTATAGAAACAGATCTTAAATTGAACTGTATGAAAATATTTGATTGAGGGTGATTCCCCCCACCCACCCTCCCGGCTGGGTTTTTAAATCTTAATTGAAGTGGTAATAAAAATCAGTCTTTTGAAATAAATATTCATTTAGTTCATCATAGTATATCATGGTCACTTGTTATAAAACTACTATCCAGACTGGTAGTAAACAAGATTTACAAACTTTCTCCAACAAGTCAATCAGTAGCGTCTGTGGTGGTAATTATATTGCATTTTGAATAAAGCTATTTAGATCTGTTAATATTTCATTGTGTGATAAAAGAGAGATTGTATATTTTTGTGTGGGTTTTTTTTCCTAAATAAATTACTCATAGTTTCTTTTTCTAAGTAAATAATACCACTTATGTTTACTTTTGTCACTGCCCATATTAGATTTTGGATGGCCTTTTTTGATTCTGTATCTCAAGGATTCCAGGAAAGTTCTCTAGACTTTTCTGTCCACCCTGTAATGGAAGGAGAGAAGCGTATAAGACTAATACTTTTTAACTCTGAACCTGTTTAAAGTCTTCCACTATGCTTCCTTAATCAAGGCAAGCTGAAAACATTGAAACGTGTTGTCAACTATCAAAATCATTCGGGACTTACTTGGCATTAGTCCAATATGAGCAAGCAATTGGTTGCAGAAAAATCCAAGAAAACAACAGAATATTATTAAACTAAGAATAGTTTAAAATAACATGGATAATATAGCATTATTGTCTCTTCCTCCTCTTCCCAGTTTTCTGATTGCTTGTCTCAGGACCAAAAGCCTGAATTTGTACAAATTCATACATAACAGTCAAAGAAACACAAGCAGATGAATCCTGGAGTAGAAAAAAACATTTTACCTAATAAGGGTAGATGCATCTTTAATTCTGACAAACTCTGCATTTAAGAACACCAGAGCCATCTTTAGTATAATTAATAATGTCATTACAGTAATGTTTAGTTACTAATAATTTGTTACTCATATTTGTTATTAAGACCAAGTTCTCTTTACCGAATACAGTTGTTTTCATCTGGAAAAAAATAAGACAATTGATTAGAATGTCTATGCCTCTCCTTCCCTTCAGGCTATGGATGGTAAACAGCCTTCAAGAAAAAAATTAAAAGCATAAAAGAATGCCAACCAAATAAAGTTCTTCTTGTTTTATGATTGAATGTATTTTGTGACAGTAGAACTATCCATTTAGCAGTGAGTCAAAAGTTCTTTTTACAGTTTCTCCGAAATTGTTGTTTCCTGTGTGTCTCTGGTTTGTTACGGTGGTTGGTAGGTCTTGGATTAGTTTTGTGAAAATGTTCCACTTCTTCAGCTTCAGCTTCATTTATTTTTATTGTCATTTCAACTCATTTAGCGGAGAGAGCAGAAAATGCAATTATATTCCTAGGTAGTCCAACTGGAAGTGCACTTCATTCTGCCTTCCAACAAAAGTGAAGCCAGTCCACCTGGATGTACCTCAGTTTGGGCTAGATAACTTCAGACTTATCCTCATGTCCTCTAACATGCCATGAAGATGCCTGCATATCCCTTTTCATTGATATGCCTTAACATGTCCTCATGACATTGTCTTCTGTGATGGTTGTTTTGGAATAAGAAATCAAAGAACAAACAGACTTGTGTGACTGCTTTTTCAGATATTTATTAGATTAATATCTTTCAAATACAGGACCATGATCTGTTCTAGCTTAATGTCATTCACATCATTCTCTCAGCTATGGGTTAGCCAATTAGCTATTTCTCTTGGCCTTTGCTTTAGAATTTAGTTAGCCCTTTCTTTGTTTCTTTCTTTTTTGTTTTTATATTTTTCTTTGCTCCTTCCTTCCCTTCTTCCTTCCCTCCCTCCCTCTGCCCTCTCTTTTTTATTAGATTTGGGTTTT